GTCCCGGCGGTGTTGTTTCTCCCCGTGTGAGGCCCATGGGGCTGTTGTCGCCACATCCCACTGAAGGGGTCTCTTTGCAAGCACGGGCACGCGTCGAGCTGAGCGTCGTCCCGGGTCTTGGCCGGAATCGTGTGCTGTAGCCTGGGGGGGAAAAGCGGTCCAGCAGCGGCCCGGTGTTCGCTTGAGCGGCAGGAAACGTCCGGTCCTCTCTTTTCCTGCAGAAATTCGGCACTGGATGGGCCACTGGTGCGGGATTACTATTAATTCAGCATCCTGTGAGGAGTCAGAAACCATAAATACCAATAAATACCATAAATATTGCAACAGATGGCAACCAAAACTAGATGTGCAATACTTCAAAGGGTCATTAGGAAACAAGGCCTTTGACCTTGGCCGTCTGTATTTTGTGGCTTTTGTTAAGTGCACATGCCTGCTGATGCCTGTGAAATTGGACATCCAAAATGTGTCCTCTGTGCAAAAAGCCACCTCTGTGTAAATACAGGCTAAGGCCAAAGATTTGCTTTGGCCTTAGTTTTTCTACTGTTATTTGAGAGGTGAGTAGCATGTTCCAGGTTATTGAAGCAGCTGAGAAATAAGCATATTCTGGGGCTTCTGAAGGGGCTTACATGAATAGAAATACTGTCCTGGACCAGCCTTTGGGAAACAGTCAGTGAAGGGCAGGGATACAGACTTTAGAAGCCTTGTGCTGGAAGAAATCAGTCTTTTCCCAAGTGCTCATGTCTTCTTTCTTTTGCCAACAATATGTAATTTACTAATATTGATGCAAGACTGCAACTAGAAAACACCTTGCAGTAGTGCGGGTTGGTCGGGTAAGGGTAATGCAGGCAGCTGTTGATGTCGCCTCTGTTTTGGTGGCATTGGCAGCCTCACGTTTTACTAATGTGTTTAGCTGACTCTATTGCTTTGACTTTTCGCATCCTGCTGCTGGCTTCCTGAGGAAGGGGTATGAGAGAAGGAAAGTCTTGTTTTATCATGAGCTTATAATTAAACAATTGAGCGTGGTGAATAAAAGACATGTCACGGTCTGTCGCACTGCTGCAATGAGTTGCAGCAAGTAATGCCCACAAGAGCTATTTCCAAAGAAAAAAGTCACAAGATACTTTTGTAGTGGAGATCACAAAGTACCCCCTGCTCCCAGCCCCCAGTAAAAGAATGTGATTTTTCCCAATGTTGTCTCTCAGGTACTCGCATTCCTTGCTACAGGGCCCAGACAAGATAATAGTGTCTTCTATGAAATTCGCACGTACGATATTAAGCCATCGAAGATGAAGGAGTTTGGGGAGATGATCAACAAGTACTTTCACCTTCGCACAGCTCTCTCGGAGGTGGTGGGAATCTGGTCTGCAGAGCTGGGAGCGATGAATAAAGTGATCCACATTTGGAAGTATGGTACGCTCAGCATCCCTTTGCACTGTTCTGTTCTGTCTGTGCTCCCTGTCTCCTAGGCAAGAAGGTGAGGAGAATACTTGTGCAACTTCTACTTGTTGCCCTTACTGTAAGAAAGTGTCCCACAAAAATATTTGTTCCTGTACTGATTACCGAAAATAATGCTGCGGAGCCTGTAAGGACAGTTTTGACATGTTGGGATGACAGAGTTGCAGCTGTTCTTAAGCAGCAACCTCTGGTCGAAACAGGTATGATGGAGGAACTGCAGCAGAGTGCTCATTTTCCTGGTAAATGTTCTTAACTTAGGGCCAGTTCCTGAACAGCAGATGTTTTCAGAATTTCAAAATGGATGTAAAAAATCCTTATTATCCTTAATAAGAATACATGTAAGTGCAGACAACCTATGTGCAGTCCATGTATGTTTATATGCATGTATAATTGCTGTCAAATCTTAGTTCAGTGTAACAGTCACTCCCCTACAGTAATGAGCTTGCAGTCTACGTGCTTAAACTCCTTCTGCAGCTGCACTGTGGTGAGGTGAAAGCCATCCACCAGCTCTGACTTACCAAGCGCACAGTGTTTCGTTATTGCATCAGCCTTGGTAGCAACAGGCTTCTTTGCAGTATAATAAACCTTATATGTTGTTGGATTCGTTGCTGACCTGGAAGTTGCTGGTGAGCCAAGACAAGCTACAGTTGTACCACAAACTAGGTGTGCTGGCCATGCTCTTTGTGGAGCTCAAGGGAACTTGCTACTTGGGTTACAGTTAGATGAGAGGACACGCAGGTATCGTTTCTTTGCACATCTGCTGGTCCAGGGTGAATCTGTATGCTGAGGCAGATGATAGTTTTGTTTCTGAGGTCCTCAGCCTGCTCATTGAAATCCAGCATGTTCACAGTACCTGTTTAGAATAAAGGGTCCTGGAAAGGTGAAGGGACCAGCTGTCTGTCAATGGAAATTTTGTAAGTTTTCATGCATCTGTGAGTAATAAATTGTACTGGTTCTCTACCTTTTTAGCCTTGGCTATTATATGTATCTCTAAAAAAAAAAAAAAAAAAACCCAACATTTTTTTAATAATCTGTGAGAAACTTTTAACGTTAAAAAGTAAGGAAAAATCTGCAATTTTTATTTGTTTCCTGATGGTGCTTACATGTGCAAATGACAACATCCTTTCTCCTTGATTCAGCAGACCTCTGCTGATATCTTTGTAGTAGTTAAAAATAGTTGGTATATTTTTCTCTTAGTCCCAAGATACTGGTATTTCTTCAGGCTCTTCCTGTTTTCTCAGATGCTGGATTTTTCTCTTGTATTATTGAAAGCTGTCTGCATAAACACCCTGCTTAAAATGCCACTGCAGCCTAACCAGCTGAAATTCAGACACTGTTAACTCAGTGGATTTGTTTTTAATTAAGAAGAAAAAAGAGGAAATGTTTAGATTTTGGGCACTTAATAACTGTTAATGTAGCTGGACAAACGAAAATTACATCTATGTGTGTAATTTTTATTTCATTTTGAATACGCCAAAACTCATATTTTTCTTAGTTTTCTCTTGGTCAACTAATATTCCTTCTGAATTTTGTTTTCTACTTTGCTTCCACATCCACTGTGCTTTCTCCAAATGTCCTTATCCTTGGTAACTGTTGCCACATCCAGTAATCCGTGCAGATGCCGTATGTGTATCTTAAGAGTAACATTGCTTAATGTATTTGAACTTACTTTATAAACTTTATTGGAAAGTTTGTTTTGGCTTGAAACCATTTAAATCTGGGTGCTAAAGCAGAGATTTCTGCAGAATTTGAAGGATCTGCTTCCAGCTAATGCGCTGTTTAAAAATACCAGTTTCAAATTTATGGAAGCGCGGCTTGCTGCCTTGTAATTACACATTTCAATGGAGCCTGTTGTAACATGAAGTGCATTTTTCATTGTTTTTTTCCCTTGGGTTTTTGTTTCCTTTCTTACAGATAACTTTGCCCACAGAGCAGCAGTCCGGCGTGCAGTGGCCGACGACAAAGACTGGCAGGGAAAATTCATCTCTCCAGCTCTCCCCTTGGTAGAAAAGCAGCACAATGAGGTTGCTTATTTGGTACCGTGGTGTCAGCTTGGGAAGCCTCCAAAAGAAGGGGGTGAGCTTGTGTTCTCTTTTGCTGAGTGAAGTTACTGATGCTGACAGATTAACAAAAAATGGCTTAAAGTTTAAACCAGGTATTACGTGGTTCTATAACCCTTTGTGTAACAAGTGCACAAGTTTCACACCCATGTGGAAGAGGTGATATAACACAGATGAGGGGCAAAGGTTTTGAGAAGGATTTTGTGCTGACTTCCATTAATTACTGAGTAGAGCCCTGATCAGGGAGGTTGCTCAGAGGTGGGTGGTTCACTCTTGCTGAGTGAACATGTGAAATGTCATTGCCGTAGTAGTGGTCAGAGCAGTCATCCCAGACCTGCTTTGAGCATCCATCAGTGAGAGGGCATTTCATGGAGACACTAAAGATGATTGTTCTCTTTCACAGAGGTTTTTCACTTTATTGATTGACTTTGATGTTATTCCTGCTTTCGCCTAATAGTTTTAAGAGAAAAACAAAAAAAAATCCCTGCTTCTTAAAGATGTGTGCAAGTCAAGCATAGTTTGTAACAATCATAGATTAGGCATAAATGTCCTTTCCATATATATATTGATTCTCTCTGTGGTAAATGTGGTATTAATAGTATTGACTGTTTCCCAATATATGAACAATTGCACTCAAAGGGGTTTATAATATCATAAACTACTTCAATGCCAGGAAACATTGCCAGCCTTAAAAAAGGCCACCTCGCATTGTTCAGTCAGCTGTCCAAATCCTACAAACATGTATGAGTACTTGTGATATTGCAAAGTAGTCTGTGTTTTCCCAGGTAACACTGAATATTGCTAACTTGGGCTCAATGTGAAGATTTCTGTTCCTTAGCATCCCAGTACTTATGCTTGCACTTGAACTAGCTCCAGTCCGCAAGCCTGTGTTCTTGTGAGCCCCTGAAAGCTGTGAGATGTTGTGCGTGCTGGGAGGAAGGGGCAGTTTCATGTCCTGCTGACCCCAAACAGCAGTACTGAATTGCAGTACTGGTTTCACAGTAACTTTGTCATGGCCATAAACTGAGAAACAGCGTATTATGTATTTCCTTCCTTGAGGGCATCCTTGCCTTTTTTTCTAGGGGTGTATGAATGGGTTACTTTCCAGATGAAGCCTGGTGGGCCAGCATTGTGGGGTGAAGCATTCCAAGCTGCAGTCAACGCTCACATCAGTACAGGTTACACCAAACTGATTGGTGTTTTCCACACAGAGTACGGATTACTTAACACAGGTACGACTCAATTTCTGATACCGACTGGCATGGGAAGGGGTGGAGGGAGAGGGGCAAGCCCTCATCCTGGATCAGGATTGGCTGGCTTGATGAAAATGTTGGCGTGGATCACCAGAGTCCTCTAAACAGTCCTTGAACCCATCTTTGTGTATTGGGTTATAAGCCAGGTGCTGCCATTTTAGAGGACTCTCAGATCTGATATTAGAGTCAAACCTTTTAAAGGCAAAGGATCATCCCACCACATACTTGCCTGGAGAACTCTTTCTGCTACCTGCAAGGCACTTGGCTGGTGAAGGCAGACTGTTAGTACCTTTTGTGTTGCAGCATAACAGCATTCAGCTGACTGTGTACTTTCCTCAGTCCATGTGATGTGGTGGAACGAGACTGCAGATCACCGGGCAGCAGGAAGGCACAGAGCTCATGAAGACGCCAGAGTGGTAGGAGCTGGTAAGAGATGAATGATCCAGAGAACTCATTAGTGCTACCTGCATGCATACTGAGTATTGTTTCTCATTGGATTGCTGTCTTAATTAAACATGTGTTTAATTTCAGTGCGGGACAGTGTCAGATTCTTGGAGTCCCAGCAAAATATGCTCCTGATGCCTCTGCCATGCTCGCCACTGAAGTAACCTTCTTCTAAAGATGCAACTGATGGCAGAAAGGACGAGACAGAAGTGCTGTCAGGAAGTGCTATAACACGGATTGTTACACCCTCATGACTTCAGCTATTCTTCAATTTACAGTAAATGGATGCAAAATGTTCATTGCTACCAGCGTAAATCAGTAAAATTTTGCATCCTGATAGCAGTGGCTGAGTTTATGGTGATATCCTGCCTCCCCAGGAAACAGAATTCGAGCCCTATCACTTATGGCATGAACCACACTTCACCTGCCTTATTTTCATTCCCTAGTTTTTAATACTTTTCTGCATAGGTAGATCGCTTACCAAACCTTTGTAAGTTAAGTGCTCTTTTCTGTTGCAGCTCAGAGCTGATACCATTTTCATAATGTACTTCAGTGACCCTTGTAATTACCACATCTTGGCTATTGCATACTGGGTTAAGAAGGAATGCCTCCACATATCTGTTACCCAGTTATGTTTTAATCAGGCTCCTTACTGGGATACTTTGTATTAATTCCGAATCATGAAAAACATCAATGCAGCTGGAATTGCACTGAGGAGGTGCTGCAGTGGATGGAGCCACTACGCTGAAGAGCAGCACGGCAGAGGGCACATGAGCTGAGGAGTCACGTTTGTATATTGTATACAGGGGGATAGAGCACCCCCTTCTGCAATTTAAAGGTCAGGAACTGGCAGAGCACGCGGGAAGCTTTCCCCCAGGTTAATCACTGACCTTCAATGAGCAATTGATTTAACTTCTCTGCTGAAGTATCTTTGTGCAATCTGTCTAATGATGATTACTGCTTCTGTGAAGTGTGTTAGGATCTCACAGAAAGCACTTAAAAAAACCCCCTGCTATAGGCAATTAGGTCCAAGGGGGGTGGATGGGCTCCAGCTGCTGTAGTAAGGGAGTATAATAGGTCCCAGCTCCTATACGCATGTTGATACTCTTCTCCCTCCAACTAAGCCATCTCTAACATTCTCAGGGTGGACCAACACTACTTCAGAGACCACCATCTTATATTTTACACATCAGCTTTTTAAGGTATAAATGATTGATAAACCATCACTACCAAGCTGATTCAGAGTGTTACCTTATGACAGTTAACTCAGAGGACTTTTTTTTGTTTTTTTAAAAAACAAAAACATGAGCTGAAAAATGGGACATGGAATTAATAGGACTTTTTTCTTTCCCCCCCCCCCCAGAAGTTGTTCTATTTTTTATTTTAAAAAATACTGGTTTTTTTTTTAGTGAAACGACTTTCCTTGTCACCAGCATTAAGAGTAAAGAACACTCAGGATGTTAGAGGTGTGCTTTATTCCAAAGTTTGTGGTTTTTCTGACAAGTGGTTGATAAATCAAGCCCATTACCCAAAGCACCAGCTGGACACCAGATTAAAACACAAAAGTCAGGAAATTTTAATTGGCTTATGTAGCATGAATTTTCCTGATGAGTGCAACTTCAAGAACTGGCTAGATCCTGGAACTTAACTGGTTGGTGGTGGGATTACAGGCAGTAGTAGGCAAAATTTTACTATCAATCAGTTTTCTTTTGGGCAGTTGGACCATTATTTTGCTTTCATTTGTAAACTGCTGTTCTAAATCAAGCTTATATTAACTGGAATAGTCTTCCTTTAATTTGATACTAGCATTGAGTTCAGGGTATTTCAGAGTCTTTATACAGAAGCATAACATTTTGCTTTGTTAGTGCAAACAGGAATAGGTTATTTTTAGAAAAGAGGGGGAGCAGTCATCAATAGTTGTAACTTCCCGCATCTCTGTAATGGAAATACTCAGAGGCAGGTAACTGACTTGAGATTTAAACATCCAGGGGAGTTTGTCGTGCGCTGCAGCTGGATTTGACAGTTGCACGGATCACTTTTTTCAGGACTGGCTAGAGACCTTTCTAATTACTACCTTTAGAAACTTCAAGTAGCACTTCCCTTTCAAATCTTGTGCCAGCTCACTTGGCTGAAAATAGTATGTGCACTGTGCCAATTTGTAGAGATACTGGAACTTGCTTGTACAATATACATCAACATTCAAACAACAAAATGGGCAAACCAAGAACTTCTAACAGCACTCCTCAAAAGAACATACACAAAAATGACACTCTGAAGACCAGTGGTGCCACAACAGCTTTATTTTTCACTTAATACAAGGCAATTAGAGTGCCTTTTAATACTTCACATAACAGATATTAGCAAATACAAATATATATACTTTTTTTTTTCTTTTATTGAAAATGACCATTTAAGGATTTAACTTAGGAATTTAAGTTGTGAAATCTCTCTAGATTTTTGCGAAGTTAACAGATATTCCAGTGCAAAAAATAGATCTCATTACAGATAGCATAAAGTGCTTGGAACGAAGGACCAACTATAATTCAGGAGGGAAGGATAAGCACAAAGTGGTAGTTTAACCATGGGGAAAATACAACAACTCCTTACCAAAATACAAATGTACTACAAAGAGGGATGCAACATGTCAATAGTAATATGATTTAGAATAAGTTAACACCTCAGCGCAGTTTCATTACCAAGAGTGGTTCATACACTGTATGTGACTCTAGAGTGATTTTTTTTCCCCCAACACATGAGTAAAGTAGTGGCTGTCTGAACTTACTCCATGACAAATCTTCACGTGAGAGTTGAATTATGCTGTCTGTTCAGTACAAATGAGTCAGATCAGAGCTGTGAACTAGTTGGTTAAGATCTGTATTTACTGTAATATTTTGTTACTGATAGTAGACTCTGTATGAGTGTGACAGTCACAGGGCAATAGGAATCAAGAATTCTGTTGGTGGGATAAGGAAAGAGGATTATGATGTAACTGTTGTTTCCTGCTAAATTAATCATTTAAATGAGCAGTTACAAAGAGCAAACCACAGCCCTTTCGGGACCAAATCTGAATCCTCCTAGAACTCGTTCTAGTTCTACATGCACTAGTTTGGTGCCGTGCAAAACTTAAGCCCTTCACTTTGGTGACTTAATGCTGATTTGTAATAGTGATTTTTAGCAGTGGTAAGCCTTTAATACATGCTAGTTGTTTCAATGATACCGTAACATAGCTGCAGCTATGACTTACAGAGTCTTTTAGAGAAGTCATGGCTGTAGCTCAGCTGTTCAGTAATTTTTCTGCGCCTGGAAGTCTGGTATATTCATCACCCTGTTACTCATCCCCATAGGGTGACAATGCCATAAAGGTAATTAATAACAAATCATGTTTTATGTGAGGTATACCAATCCCCATTATACTCCTTTTCTCAATCCCCTTAGCAATGTACTAAATACAGTTAAAAAAAAAAAAAAAAAAAAAGTATGAAAAAGGCACTTCAGCAGAGCATGTAGAAAGCTCTTACTTTATCCCAAGGCAGGACACAGCAGAGATTGGGAACTCGTGCTAAATACTTAACGGTGTTTCAAAATTGCTGATTTGGTCAGTGTTACCAAGTATACCTGGAAATACAGAATCATAGAATGGTTTGGGTTGGAAAGGACCTTAAGATTATCTAGTTCCAACCCCCCTGCCATGGGCAAGGACACCTCACACTAAAGCATGTCACCCAACGCTTTGTCCAGCTCACACCAGCCTCTTCACTGTCTGTTGGGCTGCTATGGACATTCACAGAAGAACAGTCCATGACTGATTCATGGTTGAGTGGCATCAAGAACAAGTGCCAAACCTGTACGGGTATTTAAGGCAGGGTCGGCTTGACGTACTTGAATAGCCCAGGAACTGCACTTGGAGTCAAACCACATTACCAAACCTATTTCTGAGTATAAAAGCAAGGTAAAGGGGACCATAAGCATATTAATATGAAAGCATACTCTCCCATGACTGTTGGACAATGTCAATGAGAATTGGTTGTTCTTACTACATAATATGCCCTCTAACATTATTCTGGCTTTGTAAAACTTCAAAAATTATTGACTGATGGAACAGTAGCACTATTATTTTCAAGAATCTTGTCCTTCAAGGGGATTTTTACTGAAGCAGTTTGTCACATGTGTAACGGGTGTGTTCTCCAGTTCAGGATCACCTAATGACTGAAACTACACTGCACAACAGAAGCAGAAATTTACACATTAATCTAATGTTATACCAGTTTCCAAACAAGAACATTTTAGGTGAACAACTTGCAGTATTTGCAGATAGCAGCTGATTGCTAGAGTCTGGAGCTTGGTCAGATAATGAATGTAGCTATCGCTGAATCGACAGAACGAGAGCATAGCATTGCTGGCACAATGTAAAGAAATACTGTGGCTACAAAGATCAACTGAAAGCACTTTCAATCCCTAATTAAGCTACCTACCTATTTAAAGTCATAAATAATACTGTTAAAAAAAAATAAATCTACATCTCACTTCTAGTTTTATCTGTCAAAGCCAGAAATGGCAACATGCTTGTGCTAAGCAGTAATTTCAGATTATGGGTACCTTTCTGGTGCAAAGCAGGGGTTAAAGAGCAGGTACTACGTATCTGAGTGACATCTCATGATTTAGAATTTGCTCTTGGCATTAGCAGCTTGTACAACTACTGAGTTTGCTGCTGTGGTCCAAATGCTAGGTCTGCTTCTCACCCACCTCCTCCTACTAGGTGTTCATGCAGCTGCTGCAGTACCTCAAAGAGTAGGAGAGTACTTAACTACACAAAACCCTAGTCAGAGTAGGTTATTGGTTATGATGCTGGTGGGTCAATCCTGTGCATTTGCAGGGTTCATGGTTCTGCGTATCAGTACTTACTGATGGAGAGGTACAGACATGATGGCCTGTCTCTTGCCATCCCATCGGCACAGTACTGCTTTGTGGCCCCAGACTGGCCATCAACTTACCTACACCACTCTAGAAAAAGCAGCTGGTCAGGTAAGTTTTCACAACCGAAGGGTACAACACTGGTGGTGACTTTTCTTGCCACTGTCTTGGTGCATTCATTGCCAGCAATGGATGTAACACCACGAAATTCCCACTCACAACACGGATGTTTTAAAGACTAAAACATGCATGTCTAAAATACCTATAAATAACCACTGGCCACGATTCCACAGTGAACTATTTCTGCAATGCTAGTAAAAGCATACTGTACAGGACAAGACACAGTATAGCTGAAATCCCACAGCATCTGGTGGGTGCTTTACCACAGCTTCAGAGTTATACTGTAATGAGCTAAGTTCAAGTCTTTCACTTCAGAACAGTACAAGACGACTCCATGAGGCACTGCCCCGTAAAGGAATTTTGTTTCTGTTGCATTGAATTGCATTGCATTGAATGGTTATCAGTAGAGTGTCCAGTTTCTCTTCCTCTAGCTTCTTTGGGAGTATCCTATCCCAGGGAAAAGAAGTTTGCATTCTGCTCATCATTTCTTTGCTGAAAGTGGCTCACACACAACTTTCTTTTACCTTCTCATCTTGAAGGAAGGAATTAAGGATTGCAATGTCTAACACAGTCTGGTTTTTGTGCAGTGACAGATCCTTAGTGTGGTCATCGTCACTTTGGTCCTTAGCAAAATTTACAAATACCTGCAAGAAAAAAAGGCCGTGTGACACATCACCCTGACTTTTCATTAATTCAAGGCATTTTATGCACTGGGCTTCCTGAAATAGTCCCAGGATTCAGTACTCCGCTGAAATGCCCTTAAAAGATAGGTCCAGTAAACTGGTGGATTTGTTCCTACCTCTGCATGAAGAAGCTTTTGGCAGACAGGCTACTAAAAACTTACTTGGTCAAGTGTGGTCTGAGAAACGGAGTAATCTTCTATGTGGAGTCTCTTCTTGTTCTGGGAGAGAATACTGAATATTCTGGCCAGGGACGATGGTGAAGAGGGAAGCTGGTACTGCAGCATGTTCCGATGCTTTTCCTTCAGGACACTTCCAGGGAAGGCATGCCCAAAGAACTCCTCAACTGGCTTCAGGTCTGGGTTTGCCCCTGCAATTCTCACCACTATTGTGTAACCATCTCCAAACCTGTAAACAAGAGTGCCAGCACAGAAGATAGGTGACTTTGAAATAGAAGTGCAGTTTAAGATCCAGCAGCATTTCCCATGGCCAGAATAGCAGTTAAGACAGAGGAATTAAGTCTGACTTCATCTCCCAAAAAATGCAGAGAACTCTGTGGCATAAAATGAAATTAGCTACCTGTTCTTTAGATGCTGGACACTGCCCAGACACCTGAATCGCCCATTGACCATTATCGCCATGCGGGTGCACAGGGCTTCACATTCTTCCATGCTGTAGGCAGAAGCAACTTCATTAGCACTGCAAGCTGCAGTGAAGGGCAGAGCAGCCAAACAGAGTTTAGCATCCAGCCCTGGTAAATGCAAAAGCCAGGGTATGATACAACTGGGCTGCTACTTGCCTGTGAGATGTGAGCACCACTGATCTTCCCTCTTTGATTACACTCAGAGCACAGTTCCACAGGAAACGTCGTGCTTTGGGATCCATCCCTGTTGTTGGCTCATCCTGCAAAATATATACAAAATCCAGGTTATGCTGTTACATTCCAACAATCTCCCTGAAATAACTGTCCATTCTGTTTATGCATACTGGAAACGTTGAAAATAAGCAGGTTTGACTTAATTTTCTGAAATGAGAAAATAAATTATGCTCCAGATTTTAAATTAGCAAACGTCTTTTTCAAAACTGGGAAGTATAACGTGTCGAAATATGCTGTTCTAAAACAAGTTAAAGTCAATTTATTTGTTTAAATAGAGCACTAGACTACTTTTTCCTGCACTATGAATTTTAATAATCCTACGATTTGTCCCCAATTTTAATCTATAGAATCCCAAAATATTTATTTCCAATTTACATTGAATTATTAAAAACATAGGACTGATTCTCCTGCACACTAAGATTTGCTTGAGTCCAGCCAGGAAGGCTGTTATTTTTTGGTAGGTATAGAAATCTTTGCAGCTGTACTAAAGTGGTAAAGATGCTACACAGCTGGCAGTTTGGCATCATGTTTGAGACCCCACTTACCCCGTGATTTTTCAGAAATAGAAGCCTAGAGTCACATTATAGCCTGCACGTACACTTAAATAAGGAATCTTTACTTAAGATATCTTTATTTCCATGTGCTCTTTGCTCCTGTTTAAGTGACTGATGTATTTAAATGTTAGTTGGCTGTGAAAATCTAGTCTTCATTTGAGCCCGATTTTTCTGTTTTCTAAGGAAAATGTGAATGAGCAAAGGTTGCAGACTCACCAGGAACACCACAGGTGGCCCTCCAATGAGGGCAATGGCTGTGGAGAGCTTGCGCCTGTTCCCTCCACTGTAATTCCCGGCATATTTTTCTCCATATTTCACAAGACCCAGTTTCCGAATTGCCCACTCGCCAACCTACAGGAGAGAGCACACCACCATCTTGAGTCAAGCACAGCGACATCGGTCTGCACAGCCAGATTTTCCTTATGAGCTTTAGCATTAAAAACATTTTTTGTTTGTAGAAGGGCCACTGATCTCAGGATCTCACGTGCCACGGATACGGGTTTTGAAACAACCTGTTCACCTTTAGATTAGGATATATGCAATCCTGCCCCTGGGAGGCCAGAAAATCAAATGGCTGCCATTACCTGGCCAGAGAGCATGATTTTTACATCAGTCAGCCACAATAACCAGCAGTGTAGTGCTCACAGTAGCACTGGCTTTAGCTAGTGTCCTGGGTTCAGCTACAGCAGTCATTTTTCTCTTTCTCAGTAGCTGGTGCAGTGCTGTGGTTTTGACTTTAGCCTGACAACAGTGCTGGTAACACCGATGCTTTTAGTTGTTGCTGAGCAGTGCTTACCCCAGTCAAGGAGCAGAGACAGGACCCCTGACCCAAACTGGCCAAAGGGGTATTCCATAGCACAGCATGTCATGCCCAGTAGATAAACTGGGGGGAGTCACCCAGAAGGCCCAGATCGCTGCTCGGGTCGGGCTGGGTATCGGTCGGCGGGTGGTGAGCGGTTGTGTCCTTTTCCCTTGTTATTCCTCTTATCATTACTATTGGTAGCAGTAGTGGTTTGTATTATACCTTAGTTACTGGAGTGCTGTTATCTCAACTCGTGGGAGTTACGTTCTTTTGATTCTCCTCCCCATCCCTCCAGAAGCGGGGGGAGGAAGGAAAAGAGTGGAGTGAGAGAGCGGCTGCGTGGTTCTGAGTTACTGACTGGGCTTAAACCAGGACAGTCCTTTGTCATGCCCAAAGTGGGGCACGAAGGGTTGAGATAACAACAGATCTGACCAGAGTGTGTTTAATCGTATTTGTGATAAGCATTTATTGTTTTGGATTAATAGTCACTTGTCACAATGCTGATTTATTGGCTCTTGGAGTTGTTATGCTTGATCTCAGAGTTTCAGCA